TTTTTGTTTGGGATTTTAGGTCCAATATATTAACACTGTATTTCAAAATGGAAAAATTAAAAAAACTGTCTGTAAGGTCAGACATCTGAGGTTGTGTTGAAAAAAACTGTGTCCACTTAAAGTAAGCTAAATCATTTTTAAGGTAATAAAAAGGAAAAATCAAAAGTAGTCAGAAACATCCAGTTAAACCTTGACCACATAAGGTTAAGGAGTTGGTGCTAGATCACATTACACTGGATAACCACGTGGAAGCCTGACTGGAACCCTTTGTCTGCACATTAAATGAAAATAAAAAAAATAAAAAATTTGTGGGTCTGACAGAGACTGAGGTAATTAACTTTTTGTGTCAAACAATCACTTCAGTGGAAACACTGATGTGAAGAGAAAGTGTCCAGTTGTTTTTTGACGAGTGCATGAAGTAAACATAATGTGACTTCTTCATAATGACATATATTCTAACACATATACGTCAACACAGACTTCATGATGTTTGGCTCTCAGAGAACCACTGTAAAACTCTGACCTCAGCTCTGATGTCCAACCCCTCCCATCTGAGAGAGCTGCACCTGAGTTCAATCAACCTGGAGGATTCAGCAGAGACACTGTTTGCTAGTCTTGGGCAACCAAACTGCAGACTGGAGACACTCAGGTCAGTTAACTGAATCTGTTGTTATTTCTCAAGGTCTTTCAATAGTTTTTACTACAAAGTTCAAACTATACCCATAACTATAAACTATAAAAGCACTTATAATAATGGAAAACCCTACACTAAGGTACAGCAATGTAATAATCTTCACCTCAACATTGCACCAGTAAGTAACCTGGGTCAGCTCCAGTCTGGTGTCCTAAATTGGACAACTGGAAATGTGAAGGGGACAATGTGGGTAAGACAAAGACCAGAGTTTAGAGCAGCTGACTAATAGCCTGCAGGTTGCTGAGTTGAGTGCTGTTACATAGCTAATGACATTGTAAACTTCCTAAACAGGAGAAGTGTGCTTTTAAGCACAGTAGGGCTATTCAGCATGGATGCTAAGTAAAGAAAATCCCAGGGTAAATGAAGTGATAAAGTTTTGCAACCCTTGCACTTGTTGAAGAACTCAAATTTGGATGCTTCATTCAATCTATTCAATCCACTTTCAGAATCAGATTGATGCAGTGAACATTGATATCACAGATATATTTTAATGTTCTTAAAGCATGGATTCTCTATGACATTTTAGGCTGTGCAAACTGTATGTTTTGTTATTAATTTTTATTTGTGCTAAAAAAAATTATCACAATGGGAAAAAACATAATTTAAAACCAGTATGGAGAACTTTTTTGTGTGTTCTTTTTCTTTTGATCTATTTACCAGTTTTATGTTCTAGGAGTCTTGAAATTATTGTGAATCTCTTCAAAAAATGCTCTGAGTGGCTGGCAATTCTCTCGCTATGGACAAAACACAAAAGCAATTCTAGCCAATTGGAGTTTGGTTAATTATAATCAGTCTAGAGAGGTGATTGTGCTGCTGAATGTTGCAAGTTGTTGCACTTAGCATTAATCCATTTGCTAAAGTCTTTAAATTAGATGCTTACTTGATTTTGTAAGCTTGTGTAATAAGTCTCTAGAAGCATTTGGTCCATCTGCAAATCAAATGCTTCTACTTGTCAGATTAAAACACAGAGGAGATCGGGCTTTTGCTGTGACTGCTCTGAAACTGTGGAATAAACTACCATTACATATCACAACCTCTCCAACACTGGATACTTTTAAAACTCCTAAAGACCCATTTTTACTTCTTGGCTTTTAAGTCGTTGAGGTCTGTCATTATTTTATTCTTATAATTTTCTTATCCTTGACTTTACTTTCTTTTTAAATTTTATCTGATTATTCAGTTGTACAGTACTTTGGTCAACAGTTGTTGTTTTTAAAGTAATATATAAATAAATTGATTTGATTTGATAATAAAAAACAGTATTTAATCCAACATGCGATTAATGTGTTTGGGATGAATAGGTGTTTGGATGGTATGCTGATAACTGGATGATATATGCAGGAGACTGACATGATGATAATCATGTATTATGTTCAAAAAAACTAATTCATTAGGACATAATAATACTAAGCTTAGAACATCAGATTACATTACCAATTATTTTTTCTACATGTTCTAATTGTTCTAATCTTTATTCAGATTTGAGAATTGCAGTTTGTCAGAGATCAGCTGTGCTGCTCTGGTCCGGGCTCTGAAGTCCAACCCCCCCTATCTGAAACATGTGGATCTAATAGGAGACAACCTGCAGGAATCAGGAATGAAACAACTGTGTGATTACCTGGAGAGTCCACACTGTAGACTGGAGACCTTAAGGTCAGTTAACTCCACAACTGAGGAACGAAAAACATTTCTTTAAATTTTGTTTATCAGTGTGACTATCATTCATTCTGATTCTGCAGAGCAAACAAAGCAAAAGACTAAGGAGCACATGGTGCACATTAAACAATATTCACAGCATTTAGAATCTAATAATGCTGAATTGCACATTAAAAAATATGGTTCATCAAAATACAAGCCCGTTCAGATCCCTGTTGGCATGCATTTCACAAGGGCTATGGTTATGTGCTGGAAATGTTATTTCTAACACATTCATAATAGCAAGCTGTTCACTTCTTACTGGACCCACACCTCCCACAAGTTACATAGAGAGACACTGGCTGATCAGTAACAGTTTAACACAAAAAGTGAGTTTATTTCAAAGGCAAAATCCTGGCTAGTATGTATTGTTGTAACGGAGCGGAAAGGCTGATTTTATTTCCAAGATGTTTTGTGTTTTTAAAAGGAAGGAAACCTTCCTCAAAACGGGCAGAGCAGTGGAGCCGCCAAGGGAAAGCACACAATTTAAACTGTAAGATTAAAAATATAATTTATTATATTTAAATAGTTAAAAATGTAAAATGAATTAAAACAACCTTGGCCAAGGGATAACACAATAAAAATCAATAAAACACAACATTAAAAGTCCAGTGGCCTGCGCCACGACCTAAAAGTCCCAGGGAGTTAAGAAATCCAGCGAAGTAAAAGGAAAACCCAGCGGAGTCCTCTCCTTCCTTCCCGCATTCGCGTCTTGATATGCCGGGTGGGCAGAGCTCTCAACTCCGCCCGCCGCTTCTTTAAACTGCAATCGGCACCGCCGTCTCACTGCTTCTGTTCTCCCGCAGTGCACAAGCCGGCTCTTGTCGTTATCGCCTTTTTTTCTCTCATCGTGTCTCTTTCCAGTCGCTGGTCATCTCTTTTCCTCTCCAGTCGCTGGTCATCTGCTCCATCTGATCATCTCTACTCTCTCATCGTCTGTGTGTTTCCTCTGTCTGTCTCGCATTCTCCTCTGTCCGTCTTTTTGTGAACACAGGCTCCAACCCTTTTATGTGTCATTGAGCACTCTGTAATTTACCTTTCCTTTCCTCTTCAGGTGTGTCCAATTAGTAAAAAACGGGGGAAAGGGCGGAGTCTCTCCAGGACAATTTGCCAGCAACTAAAACATGCAAACTAAATAAAACACTGCACAAAAATATAACTAATGCATGCAATATAAAAAATAAATATGTACACTTCACATTAAAATACAGCACAGCAAAACAACGTCCGTCCTTCCCTGGATGACATCCCCCCACACTAAAATATTAGCAGTCCCTGCTAATGCTCTCTCTATAACGCTCTGGTGAGGTGACACACAGTCAGTAAGAGGTAAAAACCCAGCTTCCAGTCATGAAGCTTTCTTGGAGTCCAGTTCCATCTTCTACCCCCCAAGCAAAAATATAAAAAAAGTGCACCATTCAGTCCAAGGCCACAAACGAGCAATCACTCTCACGTCCTCGTAGCATAGCTACCCGGAAGCCATAAGGTCCTACACTGCACCCGGCTGCTCCCGTGGGGATACTTCCAGGCCTAACCTGGGTCTCGTGCTTAATCCCAAGCACTGCTGCCTAGCAGCAAATCATTACCCCACCTCCGGCAAGCCTGCAGCTGGTCTCCCATGACAACCTCGGTTGGACGTTCTCCATTCACTCTTGGTGTGGCCAACACTCACACTTGTGCACACTGTTCATACTCATCTGCTCAGGGGTCCTTGGCTTTGGCTCCAACAATCCATCCTCCATCTTCTTCTTTCGCCTAACCCTTCAAACTTCAAACATACCGGGGCACCAGAATACACATACATCATCTTTGCTATTCCCCCAGCTACCCCAACTGCTCTGGCTCCGTATCCTGTCGACAACGCCAATTATGTAAACGGAGCGGAAAGGCTCATTTTTATTTCCACAATGTTTTGTGTTTTTTTTTTTTTAAAGGAAGGAAACCTTCCTCAAAACGGGCAGAGCAGTGGAGCTGCCGAGGGAAAGCACACGATTTAAACTGTATGATTAAAAATATAATTTATTATATTCAAATAGTTAAAAATGTAAAATGAAATAAAACAACCTTGGCCAAGGAGTAACACAATAAAAATCAATAAAACACAACATTAAAAGTCCAGTGGCCTGCGCCACGACCTAAAAGTCCCAGGGAGTTAAGAAATCCAGCGAAGTAAAAGGGAAACCCAGCGGAGTCCTCTCCTTCCTTCCCGCATTCGCGTCTTGATATGCTAGAGAAAGGGAGGGAGCGGCAGTCACTATTCCTTTGGCAGTTTACTTTATAAAAAGGATAAGTCAAAGACTTACCCGGGTGGGCAGAGCTCTCAACTCCGCCCGCCGCTTCCTTAAACTGCAATCGGCACCGCTGTCTCACTGCTTCTGTTCTCCCGCAGTGCACAAGCCGGCTCTTGTCGTTATCGCCTTTTTTTCTCTCATCGTGTCTCTTTCCAGTCGCTGGTCATCTCTTTTCCTCTCCAGTCGCTGGTCATCTGCTCCATCTGATCATCTCTACTCTCTCATCGTCTGTGTGTTTCCTCTGTCTGTCTCGCATTCTCCTCTGTCCGTCTTTTTGTGAACACAGGCTCCAACCCTTTTATGTGTCATTGAGCACTCTGTAATTTACCTTTCCTTTCCTCTTCAGGTGTGTCCAATTAGTAAAAAACGGGGGAAAGGGCGGAGTCTCTCCAGGACAATTTGCCAGCAACTAAAACATGCAAACTAAATAAAACACTGCACAAAAATATAACTAATGCATGCAATATAAAAAATAAATATGTACACTTCACATTAAAATACAGCACAGCAAAACAACGTCCGTCCTTCCCTGGATGACATCCCCCCACTCTTAATATTATTTGTTTAGTATTACTTCTTTTTCTGCATCTTTTCTGGACAAGGCTGTCATATAACAAAGGGTTTAACATTTCATTTTCCTGCAAGCTTTTCTTGATCCTATCACACCGTGTTCCTACAGGCTGACCTCTACTTTGCTTTAGATGCTGTACTGGGGTGAGTATTGCTCAGATCTTTTAGTGGGATTAATTTATGTATTTTCACTTTCATAGTAATTTTAGGATAACTCTTTTTAATTATAAATATCATTCCAAGGTCTAATATATAATTGATACCTTGCATTAGTGTGGATGTTTTTTTTCTGCACAAAGCTTTTGAAGACTGGTTTTCTTTGATGGATCTATGCAAGACTTCACTATTTGGTGAATATAACTCAAAAGACTTCATTCTCTTCATTAATTGGTAATTGCTTCTATTGGTATTAGTGAGTTTTCAGTCTGCATTGACTGTAGCTGTTTAAATCCTTCTTTTTGGTGTTCTCAAAAATGTTATTTTCAATGATGATGTTTTAAATGCACCCCATCACTGTGTGAATAAAAATACAGTAAAACTTTTGGTGTCCTTTAAGGAATTGAAGAGTACGCAACAATCATTTTAAGACAAATCTTTTACTTTTGAACAGATCGAGGCACGCAGTGACGTCTGCAGAGGGATTCTTTAAGTCAAAGACTGACTCTACCCAGACTTCCTGAATCTGTTCCAGAAGGTACAAAGACAGTGTGGCCTTGACTTCAGTGTCAAGCTTTGACTTATTGATACGCGTTTGAGAAACTACTGAAATTCTCTTCAGTGGATGGATTACAAGACAGAGGGGAAATACTTTGACCCCAGACTGTGCCAGTGTCATTTTCACTTCAGCTGCTGCTGTTTGCCTTTACTTTCTGGATGACTCTAATAACTCCAGGGGATGTGTCAATACTGGCATACTCACATTCCTAGAAATAAGGACTGTGCCTTGAAGAGTCATTAAACTTTGGATTAAGTGCTGGAATATGTTATTTGCACTACTGATCACTTATTTTTTGCCTCTCTCCTGAGTTGAATGTTGCTTTTGAAGTACTATGGCTGCTCTCTAGCTGGTCTTGGAGCTAAAAGCCAGGCATTGCTTGGCCAGTCCTACTTTATTATTTTGCTATGGAACTTTGTAGTAATTTTAATGTTGCATGTTTATGGTGTTCTTTAAAGCTCCAGCAGTGTGTTTTTCAGTGCTGTGTTATATTACAGTTCAATCAAGTTTGTGTCATGTTGAAGTGGC